TTTTTTTTTTTTAGCAAAAAAGAAAATGTTTTCTTATAATTGTTTAAGGTTCTAAAACGATTTGGAAAAATTTTAACATTTTGAAACTAACCATTAGTTTGAGTTTTGATTCAAAACTAAGGTGTTGCTAAATTTGTTTAAAAGTCAAAATAGAAACAACAATATACTGTTGGCTTTACCAGTTAAGAGTTTATTGTGTTCTATTCGATAGTTCTAGCGAATGCACGAATCGGCAGTTTTGGAATACAACATGATTTGTAAAAACAGTTGGAAAGCATCGTTGTTTGATCAAGTACAATTTTTTGGTGTTCTTTTGGGCACACAAATTTATGGAGCTCTATCGGATACATATGGTCGTAAACCGTTTGCTATTCTTGCGCTAGGGTCTGGAATCTTATTCACTTTTATTTCAGGTAACTAAAGATTGAAAAAATCTTTTTTTTGTTCTACACAAACTAATTTTTTTTTTTTTGTTGCATCTGCATATTTTATTGACATTATGTTGTTAGATTAGCACAAAAAGTTTGTTAAAAATGAATACTGCTTGAAGAAGTTTTACTACATCTGATTATATCATTAATTTAATACTTTTAGGTCTGATTCAAAAATGGGAATATATAGTTGCATCACGTTTTGTTGTCGGCTTAGCTATGGGTGGTACAGTTGTTGGAGTATGTACATTTGTTATGGAGATGTTATTGCCAAAACAACGGATGGCTTTACGAGCATTTTTCAACTGGGTAATACTGCACTAACAGCTAATCAATTATCAAATCTGTTATCACCTAATAGTTGGATCGATAAGAAAAATAAAAAAGAAAACGAAGCTGATGAGGAATAGAAAATATAGTTTTTCTTTTTTGTAACATACCAAATTGTTGGCAATATATGCTGTAAACAAGTTTACGCTAATTGTTTATAGCTGTTGAAAAAACTGTCTTACCAAAACATTTCTAGAAAGGCGTATTTGTTTGGTATTACTGTAATCATCAATCAGTTGATAATCTCTTCACCTTTTAACAAAAAGATACCGAGTGTGCATGATACATAAATATATCAAAAATTGTGCTTTTGAAATAGAAGTAACAATAAAATTATGCCATCAAACCTGAAAGACAATAATCACTTTCTTTTTTTTTAGGGTGTTGCTCGCCTCTTGATGACATTAATATGCTGGGCATTTCCGGACTGGCGAACCTCAACATATGTTAACGCTGCTGCTGCACTTCCTGCCTTCTTAATTGTAGTATTCATATTACCTGAGAGTCCGACATGGTTGTTAAGTAAGGTCAGTTCCGCAGTTCTTTGCCGGTTATTATCCGTAGACATTATAATGTTACCCATTTTATTCGGAATTTAGGGCCGTCTAAGCGATATTGAAAAAAGTGATAAAAAGATTGCTAAGGTTGCTGGAATACCATATGTAAAAAAAGAGCGTAAAATACCGGAGAAAAGTAGGCGACTTTTGGATGTTATCAGGATTCCGGAATATCGTAAACGGTATGCTGATGAAACGTATACGATTTAATAAAAGTGATTATAAACTTTTTTCGACGTTTTTCAACTTGTTTGATAAAAGAGTACTTTTAGACTGCTGGTATTATGGATGATGTGGTTTACAGCAGCACTGTGCGGTTATGGAACAGATTTGATTTCAAATCGTATCACCGGACATCTGTATATTAATCAAGTTATATTCTCAGTTGTTATTGCTGTTTCAAAGGTGAGTAGCAGTAAAAAAACATATTTATTTTTTGTTTTCCTTCTTGAAAATAAACATTTTGATACACCGCTAAATAGTTTTAGATTATCCTTGTAACTTACGACACATTGAATGAAAAGTTCAATCGACGTAAACTGCATCAGTATTCTCAAGCATTCTGTTGTCTATTCTTCTTCTTGACTGGTGTTTTGCTCATTCTTGGTTACGAGGTAAAGATTATCGTGTAAACTGACTGCTAACTTTTAATCCAATCCATAATTTAGGTCACTGTTCTTTTTTCATTTGCTAAGGCTCTTTGGTCACCTTTGAAAAATTGAGAAAAAAACTTTTTGACAATGCCAATTTCTGGCCAGGCACTATGTCCGTTGCGGTGTACAGAGTGGACAGCGCACGTCAGATACAGAAAAAACACCTAAGCGTTCTACCGCAATTTTTTTAATAAAAAGTTTTTGGACCGTATTTGTTCGTCTGTTTGAAGAAACTATCTTTCAGGGTGCACCGATTATTGTCTGCAGTGCACTTGGTACAGTGTTCAATGAGTACACCTGGGATGCCTGCTACCTCTGTGCTGTAGAAACAATGCCAACAAGTATGCGAGCGTCTTCCTTAGGATCCTGCTCATTTATCGCTCGATTTGGATCGCTATGTTCACCATTTGTATGCTATTTTTGCTTACATATTCATCTTTTTAACTTCTGATGTTGTCGCCGGGCGAGCTTCCACGTTGCAATTTTTCAGCTCTCATACATGACGTCAATATGGAGACCGGCAACCTACTTGGTTGTGGTTGTGTTAGGTATCATAAACCTGATAGTCTCTTGCTTGTTTCTTGTTGAAACAAAGAACGTTAATTTGGAAGAAGTCGGAGAGACAAGACGGACACAGAACGAACAAGAAATGACACAAATGATTGACGACGGTAACACGACAAGCTAGTTCAGTCCGAGTAATTAGCTAGCCGAGTTAAATTAAATTTTTTACTGTTCTTATTATACTTTCTTTTCAAACACTTTTTCCAATCACTGACTTCCTCTCACTTAAAACATCACAATTTCTGAACGATCAAAACTGAACCCTTTACTTCTACCTTAGAGAAAATGATTAAAAAACAATTGAAACAATTTAAAACAGACTAACCACTTATATTTTTTCTTTTTGAGCTACTCTGTACTTTATTATTTTGTTATGCATGTGGAAACAATACTAAATAATTCCTTGGTGCTTCGTAAACACGAGTTGTTAATTTTATTTGTGCGCACACATTGCTTTATCCCACTCTTTTCATCGAGGCTTCTTGGACCAGTAAAATCTTGCAAAACAGTGAATAATGAGTGTAACCTTCTTCTCTTTCTCCAATCTACAGCTGCTCAACAAAGGTTCAAGATTCCTTCAAATAATCAATTAATCAATTTATTGTTCTTTGAACTACTACATTTCGGCACATCTTATATATTAGATCTGATATATTCAGTTTTTAAAGACAAACTTTGACTATAAAAAGAATAAGGCAAATAGATACAAAAATTGTTGGCCCGTCTCATAACTACACAACTAACAAACTGTTTGAATTCACAGTTCTAAAGTTACTGCTTCCATAATGAGTCTCTTCGAAAGAAGAAAGAATTTATATAAATGGATGAAGTACTTCAAGCATAAAATTGTCTCTTTTAATCTCATTTTACAACTGCATACTGCAGAACTTTCCCACATACGTAGAAACAATATACAAAAGCCCACAGCCGACAAGAAGCTCCGTAGTACCTTCATTTCACGAAACAATATCACAGTGTGTAGAGCTAAAAAAGCAACTGCTCCCTTCCACTTGATCAATGATAATTTTCACAAGAAGGTTTAATATGCAAACCTGTTCTTAATAGTCCTAGTGTCTATGGCTATTTTTAGTTTCCATATTTTAGAGCAACTCAATATTAAAACTTTTCCCAATAACAGAAATGAAAATAGAGCTCTAAAACCTTAAAAAATAGAGCATGTGCGAACTCTTTATAACTACGAAAATATAAGCTTTTTCAGACAAATTTACAAGATTATAAACCTCAAGAAATACAAATTTTATCTACTCGTTTTAGCTCCACAGGTCTTCACAGTGTTCTGGAAGGAGACGCATCAGTCAAAAATCATAAGTTATAATTTCAATTCCTTCTCTCCATCATCGTAACATCTTGGACAACAGTGTCGTTCAAAAATGCACTGGTCAAAGTTTCATCTGGTTCAAGCAAAACACTTTCTGAAGGTGGAATACTAGACAAACGTCCCGATGACATCAGGAAACGATTATCAACCAACTAAAATAGGAAATTTTTTTCCATAAAACAATAAGGTGTAGCTGCCGTCAAAACTAAAACAAAAACGCAAAAATAATGGCTTACTGCTATGTTAATAAAACGTAATCCCAGTTCAAATGCTCCAACATCAAACATTCCAGATTCTTTATTTTCCGCTGCGGTTTTCTTTGATTTTTCCTCATTTAAATATTTGGAATTTGTAAACGAAAGACCACCAATAAGGCATTTCCTTCCACTTCTCTCTTCCAAGCTAAAAATATAACTGTATGGAACTTCATGCTATTCCTAAACCGCCTCAATTAGCAGGCTAAATTACCGTTCCAAGTACTAAATCAAAACAGAAACGTTAGTAGTAAGACTTAGAAGTGACACAAGCTCTAAACTTCACTTGCTTTTTCAATCTTCGTCTCTGAGCCTCCTGACCCCATAACAACTGTACTAGATAACGTGAGGCGGAAGAAGAGCTAGACAGCATAGACGCAGATGTAACTTGTGAAAACGAATGGCTGTTCTTAAGATCAGTCAACAAATGTACTTCGAATTTCTGAAATATAATTTTTTACGGAAAGCACCGCCCGATAAAAAAATTTTCTTTCTTTTTGCCGACGTAAGCACAAAAAAAAACTACTCAGGGTTTTGGAGAAGAAAATAAAATGAATATA